GCTGGGTTGGTCCAGTAGCACCGAGGAGCGGCGCTACTGGAGCAACCCAGCAGCACCCCAGCTGCTCTGCCCCAGGCGTCCCCAAGTCAGCTTCTGCTGAAACTGACCAGCGCTGACTACAGGAAGCCCCAGGCAGAGTTGCTCTGCCCCGGGCTTCCTGGAATCAGCTGCTGATCAGTTTCAGCAGCAGCTGACTTGGGACGCCTGGGGTTCTTAAGTTGATTCTGTATGTAAGTCAGAACTGGAGGTCAGTTTCAGCAGTGTCTGAATCTGGACGCCAGTTCCGACTTACATACAGATTCAACTTAAGAACAAACCTACAGTCCCTATCTTGTATGTAACCCGGGGACTGCCTGTAGTGTAAGAGGCTATACTTTTGTTGTGTCTCTTGCTCTGAACTTTGTCATTCCCTCCCTTTATATTTTGTCTATTCATTTTTCTTCGATTTGTTTATTCTCTAACCCAACACCTCTCTCTTTGAAAAGCTCATCCATTTTCTCTCCTACACACACTAGAGCAACATCCTTCTCACTAAAACAGATGGCCACTTCTAGCCTAGACTTCTGCCAACACAGCATCTTTCTACAGACATCCTATACTGCTTCATTTTGTTTCATTCTGCAACCTACAATGCAACACAAAGGCAACACACAACAAAGCAGCACAGAGAGGGAAGTACCTGAAAGACTTATTTCTATGCTGCAAAGGTATGGCTGGAACATGCCCAGCCATATCTGAGCTAGCTCTGACCTAGTTTGAACAATAGCAGCATGGTCTCTATGGGTATGTCTAGACTACAGAGTTTTGTCGGCAAAAGTGGAATTTTGTCGACAAAACTATACCTGCGTCTACACTGCTGCTGAGTTCTGTCAACATAATGTCGACAGGACTCAGCAGTTTTGTCGATGGCTGTAAACCTCATTCTACGAGGACTAACGCCTTTTGTCGACAGAGTTCTGTCAACAGAAAGCATTATTGCATCTACACTGTCCTTTGCATCTACACTGTCATGTCAACAAAGCAGCTTGCTTTGTGGACAGAACTGGATGTAGTCTAGACGCTCTTTGTCGACAGTATCTGTCAACAAAACTTCTGTCGACAAAAGCCTATAGTCTAGACGTACCCTATAAGCTCACCCCAGATGAGGCAGTATGCAATTTCAATAGCTAGCTGATGGTAAGAAACAAACTGAAAGATCTAAACTAAACTCTTCAGATCTATCCAACCAACACCGGAAGGCAGAAACTAGTCTATCATCTTGACAGGTGTACACAAAAAGCTGAAGATTTCAGTCAAGGATTGCACAGGTTGCGCTTCTAAAATCTGGGATTCTCTGGTCTGGCAACATCCGTGGTCCGGCATGACCACAGATGCTCCAGGATCAGAAAGTCCCAGCGTGCTGCACAGGGGTGGGTATCCGGGAGCTGGCACATGGCTGAACTTGGCTGTGAGGGGGGGTAGGGAGCCATCACATGGCTGAGCTGGGCTGCAGGAAATGGTGTGTGGCTCAGCAGGGCTGCGGGTGGGAGGAGGTAGCGCACCAGGAGCCGGCACACGGCTCAGCTGGGCTGGGGAGTGGACCGGGAGCTTGCACACAGCTCAGGTGGGGAGCAGGGAGAGAACCAGGAAGCCTGGGGAGGGGAGCCAGCAACAGGGAGCCTGAAATGACCTCCCCTTGTCCGTAAAAATCCCTAATCTGGGACCAGTCAGGTCCCGAGGGTGACAGAGCAGGCAGGTCCAACCTGTAGGAGCAAGTCCAGATGACTTCTTTAAGCCTTTTCATGTTAGTTTTGTTAAAATAAAAATAGCAGAATAAATTAATGAATACAAAAATTAAAAGTCAGAGAACAAATAGCATGCACTCATTTTAAAAAAAACCCCACAGTACTGTCAATTTAATACAGCTGACAAACTTGTACTTACCTAACTTCTTTCAGTACCTCAACCTGGGCAGCCAAACTTCTCATTTTAGTTCCTACATGTGTATGTAGTGTTTTTTCCAAATGTTTAAGGGTTTCCATAGATGCTTCCTTTTCTTTCTGCATTATTGATTTTTTTTGGAGAAGAGGGGGGAACAAAGAACACAAATAATGGTTAAATTGTTAGCTTCAGATTATTAAAATATTGAATATTATTAGGCTTTGTAACCAGAAATGCGGACAAACCTGTGCCAAGCACTGACAAAATGGCTAAAATATGGTTGTGCCACTATGATGGATGAAAAAAATCATGATTTTAAAAAGTTATACGTTTGTCTTTAAATGATGCTCATTCTTTACTTTTCTTCCCCTTTCAGTCTTAAATTGCTGAAGTGGATGTTTGGTAGTTTTGTTTCCTAACTGTTAATGGCATGTAAGATTTTACTGAGATTTTCCTCTCACTAAGAAATTTGACACTGAAAATATTCATTGATGCAGAACCCCCCCACACACAAAAAAACAAGTCCACAACCCCATTAGCATATTTACTGTCAAAACACCACAAATGCAAACACCAATTGATAAGCCAACACACTGTACTATATTTGCAACCATGCCATTATTCCTGAACTCTCACAAATCAATAAACATGAAAAACTCACATCAGGCTACACTCCTGGATCAGGGTTTGCAGTAGGGACATGGGCAGCTGGCGTGCTAGGTGAGGAAAGCTATTGCTTTCCCAAACCGCAGATGTGGCCTCACCTACATTTCACCCCCAGAACTCCTACTGTAGGTGTTCTGGGGGCTGAGCTGCTGTCCCTAGCGCCCATTCCTGTGCTCCGGTGCCAGGGAGGCTGGGGGCTGCATGCCCTCCGCACTCTGGGGCCAGAGAGGCTGAGGCACATGCCCACCCGCTCTCCTCCCTTCCCCATCATGGGGGAGCTTGCCTTGCCCAGTTCACCGACCACCCATGAGTAGGGATGTGAATGTGTACCCATGTAAACGATTAAACAATGTTGCTGGAACAGGGAGGTTCAACCTATACAAGGTTATAAGTTATAAGCAACCTTGATGGTGAGGACTGAAAAAGCACCAGGAAAATCTTCCTCATTTTTTCCACATACCTGCACTAGTTGGTTCAGCTGCTCAATTGTTGATTCTTGTTCTTTATATTTCTGGAGGAGAACTTCATTCTCCCCCTTCAGAATGTCTCTCTCTTTTATGAGCTTTTCATTCTCGTCAATCAGTTTCTGATGCTCTTTTATTTTTGCTAAACTGATGTTTGATCCCGTATTAAAATCACAAGCCATTACTTTTTCCCTATTAAAAATGAATATTAATAAAATCAAGATATTCATTTTATAATGGTACAATTCTTTAATTATGACAGTCAAGAATGATTTTAGTCATGATCTTAGTCATGCAGATCAAGAATAGAAATTTACTGTATAAGCAACTATACATGATTAAGTTACGTCACATTTTTTTAGAAGGGAGATCTTCCAAGGTTAGTCTTCAAACAGATTTGCACACCACACCACTTCATTTGGTTTCACTTGCTTGGAACAAACCTTTTTCTACATTCAAGTATTTTCAATAGAAGTTTTTAAATCAAATTCTTCTCTCCTCCCCCTACCCTCTCAAAAAAAACAAAAGATTCAGTACATCACACTACTGCACTGGGAAATCTAAACCTGCTATAACTGGCTATAAAATGGACCCAAGCCCTTTACAATTACTGTTAGTTACTCTCCACAAAGACAGGCAAGAAACATTATCCTGGAATCTAATCGCAATGATTTATTAGAAAGGTACTGTCCATTAAAGACCTCAGTTTTGCTCCCACCTTAATCATAAACTTCCTTTGTGACTTTAGAGATGACACCATTTCTTTATGCCTCAGATTCCTGTATCAACATAGGTACACAAGAGCTTGCTAAATAAAGGCTGTAATATGCAGAGAATTATTAAAGACAGTCAAGGGAAAGGACAGAAGTAGAAAGCTAGCATCTCCTTACTGCCAAGAGGTACACATTTCCCTAGTCAATCTGGACATCTTGGAAGACAATACTGCTGGCAGCAGGAAGGATGAAAAGAAGAACCAATTGTTTAATCAGTCTCTGAGCTTCTCTAAAATTGAGGAAATAGTCCTGGCTACTTCAAAACAATTGAGGTGAGGCAGTTTACTATGAAGCTGAGCAGCATTCCAAATTATGATCCCAACAAACGTCAATGTGAATAAACAGCCTGGTGATCCAGAATGCAATTTTGCAATGGACACAAAATGGGGGAAGTCATGCCCTCAGATGTTTCAGCGATGGGCTCTCTATAAATTCCTAAATAGAGGAGATCAGGAAAATATCAACAGCCAGTGATGTTCTAGAGTGTGTGTACATGTGATTTTAAAAGATGTTAATATATTCTGCTGCGTAACATTTCCAGTTGCTGAGCAGCACTTTCCTACCCACACGCGCCCCCCCCCCTTCAGCAGACTGTAGCCATGGAAACTCTATATACCACAAGTGTCTTTTTAAAGATTTAAACAACAATCACCACCTCTTGTCACTCTAAGTGCAAGTGGTACAAAGTCTCTCACATTTTCAGTTGTAGTTCTTGGTTTGATTTAATACGAGTATAGCTCTTGTACTCCCTAACAGACAACCAAGGTCAAAAGCAGGGCCATCCCTAACAGTGCTGGTGCCCTACACAGTCCAGGACCTGCAACACACACCCCCAGGGGACAAGGGAGAGAATGTTGCTCCATGCAGGGAGAAGGTATTGTGGGGACAGAAGCTGTTAAGTACAGGAGCACTGCAAGGCAGATAGGAGGAGCAGTGGGGCTCCCACCCGCTCTCCTGAGGATGCAGGTGAACCTGAGTCCTTCGGCCTGCAAGTGATTGGCTACTGGGTGCAACCTGTGGCTAGAGGGATGGGGATGGCACTTATCTCTCGAGGGGGGCTGGGTGAGGGATGGGACTGTCTACCAGAGTAGATAAACAAGTAGCTGCTAGGGCACCACAAAGTTTGGGGCAATTTGGTGGTACCCTACACAGCTGCATAGTTTGTGCTTCAGTAGGGATGTCACTGGTCAAAAGATTTACTTTTATGCGCTGCATTTTTGGACAGTGATTTTTTTAGTATCCAGGTAAATTAACATGGACTGACAATCAGGTAAGTTCCAGCACAAGTAACCAATATGCTCTATCATAAGGTTAAATGTGTGAATGCATACTTAAATGCATATCTGTGTTTTCTTTCGCAGAATCACTGCAAGAACCAATGCCTTGCCGCCTCAATCCTTGAATAACTTCCCACAGCATCTTCTCCCTTACCTTGGAATCACTATCCCAACTTTCCTCAATGTTTCTAGATTCTCTCACACCTATTAACAGCCAAGCCTCAAGCTCTTCCCAGAGAAGGAGGAAAACATTCTTCAGAAAGTAAATATCTAGAGAATTAGTTGCACTCGCACTGCATGACCCTCTCTCTCTGCTACTCAAGTGCAAAGATTTGTAAGTGTGACTAGGAGAGTAAACAACATGTAAGAGAAAAAAAAGGTCAAAGTGAAAAGAGTCACAGGGCAAAAACAATACTAAAGAAAAATAAGATGCAGCTAGAAAAAAATAATTAAGACCAACACGGTACGTAAAGATTACAAAAGTGTCCAGGGATTTTGGATGACCAATTTGAAAACCCCTGGAGTTTCCTAAACTGTGAGCTAAGCACTCTCTCAAGAAGGGTAGAGTTTCAAAAAGTCAGCCCTTGAAGCGTAAGCTCCAATTCATTAATAACAGGCTACAATAACTCATTTTGTTCTTAGAAAGTCCAAGAGATAAGTATAGCATTTTCAAAACTAACATTTAACACCAAATACAGTTTGTTATTTTACAGCAGTAACATCTCTTGCTTTGTTGTATATGCAGAACAAATGGCTTTTGGGAATTAAGCAAAGACAAAGCACTTAAATGACTTAATCTCTAAAACTATGTATTGTTTTGTGCAATACTGATCTATCTATATCCATACTTATTTTAAGATTTGTGTGTCTGAGTCTCTGTTTGTTCAAGAAGACTTCCTAAACAGTAAAAACTAGGACTTAAAAATTTGGTAGGCAGCTTCCTCGTATCCTAACTTAAAGCAAGGTCAGGGTTTGGTTGTGCCAGAAAAATGGGATATGCTTGGAATTCAAATGTTTTCTAAAACATGAGGGACGCTATACTCAGTCACTACTGGGGACAGTGAGCACTAGGAACAACTATACTGCAGAGTGACCACCGGGGGGCAGCCACACCGCTAAGGAAGTGGTGCTGGACTTGAGGGGGTGGGGAGGAAGCCCTGCTAGTCCCACATACATGGCCAGGCAGTGCAGCCCCGGCCCCTTTCGCAGGAGCAACACCACCATTGCACCCTGCCTCCAGCATTGCTAGGCTGCCCAGCGCATCTGCAGCTGACTGGCCTGCACATCTCCCTCTTTCTCCCCTCATCTGCCTGGGCCCCACCCACCTCCAGCCCTGGGCCAGGTCCAAACACCACCTGCATGCCCCCTCCCCTCCAGGCTAGACTCAGGCAATGCTAGTGAGTCTTACAGTAAAGTAATGAAAGGTATCCTTAACCACCCATTGGAAATACAATTCACACAAAAAATCCAAAATATTTTCTTTAGTTAAGGGACCTTTAAGGGGAAAATATCAACTTAGCAATAGCTGAAAAAGTACTGTCTTTTCCTTTTTCCCAGCTTCCTTTCCTAAATACACACTGCCCAGTAATGAATCTCAGTAGTGACACACACACAATCAAACTCCCACTCCTTACTTTGCAAAAGGCCTATGATTCCCAGGATGGTTATGATTCCTCATGATGGTTCCGATATGGTCACCAAAATGCCCTTTTAATCGGTTGGATCCTGAAGGGTTGGGTCTGTTCTCCCACACTGGAGCTGAAATTTTTGCATTCCAGGGTTGGCATTGAGCAACATCTATTTTTTTCTCTTTGCAGTTATTAGCATTTATAGGAGATTTGCATTTTTCAGCAAACCCCTTCTTAGACACTTCTTCCCCAATATCCACTTTTCCATACTCTGCTTGGGCAACAATGGTACCATCCTGATACGTGGCTCTGTGTCGCATTTTAATGTCTTTTTCAAAAATTAAACTGCACAAGAACTTTCTCCCCTGTAAAATAAACGGACAGAAGTTATAAAACTGCTCATAGTGAGTAGTTTCTCTTTGTTTAACGTAACTAACTTTTCACCATCAAACAGATCTGTTCTTCAGTGGAGCCTAGAGGAGCTTCAATGGAAGTTGGGTACCAAACTACATTAGGCTACTTTAAAAATACCAAGCCAAGAATTTAACAGCATTATACCAAGGTTAACCTTTCAGTAATACAGAAAAGATCTGTGACTGATTGAAATCTATTCCCCTTAATTTTAGCTGTCAACATTTTATTCACATTCGTCATAGTAACTTACATGAAATGGCTAAAGTTTAATCACGGTACCAAATTTCTCCCACTTAAATAAGACCTCACTACTACAGAGAAAGTTATATAAAAATTGTGTGATTAGCAACATATCCACTACTTGAAATGGAATACTAATGTACTTATATTATCACATATACAAATCTACATTATGAATGTCAACACTGAAATTTCTAGACTAAGAAAGTCAAAGCATTCAAGTCAGGAAAGGCAAAAACTGCAGTTACTAGCCTGATGGCTAGTGCAGACATTGGCAAGTTTGAAGGCTGAGAAGAATGGGATGTGGTGTATCCCCTAAAAGAAGTGGCTGAAAATAAGAGTAGTTTTCTCTGTTAAGTTAACTTGGTCATTTCTTCAAATAAGCTGTTTTTATAAAGTTTTTTAAAAAGTTCAGCCTGAGGCAGAGAGCAGTTATGGAAATATTTATCCCTAACAGTTAAAAATACCAGGAGTGGAAGCAACTTAAATTTATGACAGGTACTGTCCTATTACAACCCACCCTCCCAGGTGGTGGGTATAGAGCAGGCAGGAGGGGCTTGGATACATTTCTTGCAGGTACTGATGTAAGTGTGAGGTAGAGTGCGGGGGCTCAGGGCAAAGGGTTGGGGTATATGAGGGCTTAGAACAGGGGGTTGGCGTGTGGAGGGTATAGGAGTTAGGAGAGGGGCTGAGGAAATGGGGAGTGTAGGGCTGGGAATGTGGCAGGTATAGGAATTAGGGTTGGGTGTATGAGGAGCTCAGGGAAGGGGAATGCAGGAGTCAGGGCTAAGAGTATGAAGACTGGCTCAGGGCAAGGGGTTATGAGTGTGTAAGGACTCAGGGCAAAATGTGATATGGTGGTGCAGGATTCAGGGCAGGGGGCTCAGGGAAGCAGCCTGGGTGTACAGAAGCAAATGCGAGCGGCTCCTAAAGGCACCGTTTCAGGGGATGGGGGTGCACAGGGAATGGGCAGAGGAGGAATGCAGCAGGCTGTATACTTTCCCATCAATCACTAGTCACAGGAAACAAGAAAAGCAACATAGCAGGCCCATTTGGGGGGGGGTCCCCAAGAAGCTTCTTTTGCCTGTCTGATGCTGAGTGCAGCAGCCACAGGAAGTTGGGAGCCAGGCTGGGAGCACCCCGCCCCTCCCACTGCAGCTGAGTGCCCCAGCCAGACAATTTCTAGCCAGCATACCATACAGGGGTGCACCAGCTAACTTTCATCTCTGGCAAAGACAAGTAAATGGAAGCAGTCAGGCAGCCTTTATGATAGGTCAATGCACTTCATGAGGGGAGGGCACTTTGGCAAAAAACCTTCAATGTAGGAGCCACTAAATTTAACACATTGCTTATTACTCCTTAATGATTTAATATTACAGAGCCACTGATGGAACTATCATAAAGTCTAATTTGTACAGTAAAATGATACTCCTTTTGTAAAATAACCAGGAAATATATGGAATTAAAAAGGCACCCATGCAAGTAAATTGTTTAAGAGCAGAACAATGTAAAATTTAAAAACAGGATGAGTAAAAGTGTGCCTGGCAGAGAGCTGCAATGTCCCAGACCAAGGATGAAGAGTTTGGGATGCAGGCAGGCAGGCTGCCCCAAAGCTGGGGTCAGAGGACTCTCCCAAACCCTTTCCCTAGAAGTAGCAGCTAGCTCCAGAAGGGGCGCTCTCTCCCTGCTGGCAAGCAGCACTGTGCTCTGGGAGAAGGGGCAGGGCCAGATTAACAAAGGGGATTTCAGTGATGCAGCCCAGGGCTAAGAAGGGGTCCTGCAAAAACATTTCTGGGCTGCCAAAAGTCCAGATCTTCTTGCAAGCCCTCCCTTAGCCCAGAACTGCAGGCACTAAACCTCTTGCACATTATCTGGCTGTGACTGGCTGGGGGGGAGGGTAGGGAAGGGAAGCAGCTCTACATGCTGCTATGTAAGCCGGGCTCAAGCCATGTCTCTGAGAGCACCAAGGGAAGCTCTGTCCCCACACTGCTCTCACCTACAGGCTCTGCCCCCATGGCTTCCACTGGACAGAAATCACACCCAATGGGAGCTATAGGAGGTGGTGCCTACAGGCAAGTGCAGGGCACTGCAGTGCAGGCAGCATTGAGCCACCTGCTTCTCCCAACCAAAGGGGAGCTGCCCCAGCTAAGTATCCTGCACCCCAACCCACTAACCCCAGCCATGAGCCCCCTCCCACCACACCCTAACCCCCTCCCAAAACCTTGCACCCCAACCCTCCTTAAAGATTTCGGGAGGGAGTTAGGGACTTGGGGTGCAAGATGGGACTCAGTGCTGGGGATCAGGGTTGGCATATGAGGTCTTGATCAGACCCCACAGCCCAACCTTGAGCCCACTCAAGAACCCTAGCTCCTTTCCATGCCCTGCACCACCAACCCCAACCTCCTGTCTGCACTCCAAACCCTTTGTCCCCAGTTTGGAGCCCCCTTCCGCATCACAAACACTTCATTCTCAACCCTACCCCAGAGCTTGCATTCCCTCGCGCTCTCACTCTCCTGCATCGTCCTATAGCCCCATCTCACACTCTGAACCTATCATTTTGGCACCACTCCAGACCCTAGGGGACCCCCAGAAGATTTAATCCAGCCCTGGAAAGGGGCTCACTCCCCCCTTGCCAGCAGGTAGTATAAAGCTCTGGGGGAGAGGTCCCCCTCTCCTTTCTAGCAGCAGAAAGCTCAAGAGCCAGAAGAGAGGCCCACAGCAGTCCTGCAAGCTCTAACTTGATCCCCTATGCAGTTTCCACCAACCCCTACTTCTCTCCTGTCTAGGTCCCTGCCGTATGGCCCTTTAGAGCACTGATTTTCAAAATGGCCATATTGGCTTTTAAAGTTCATTAATGGTTGGAGAGCTGACAATCTTACCAACACCCTCCGGAGTCTCAGCTTGATGGGTAAAGACATCCTCACCATTTATCTTTTATAGATCCCTGAGGATGAAAATCTGTAGACAATTTGGTTTTATTTGTTACAGAGTTCATCAGCTACACACGTCTATAACTTACCTGGTCAAATTGATTTAAATCCTGATCAGGAGGAATCTGTAATCCCCAGAGTCTATACTTATTCGCAATGCTGGGAAACTGCAAGTTCTTTGGAATTTCAACTATTTCTGATCGGTTTAGAATCTCAGAATTTCCATAATCAATGTATAATACCTGACACTGTGGCAATAATACAAAATATAAATAAGTACAGCAACTAAAAATCTAGTTAAATCATATGGATTAACATTTACCGTACTTAAGAGGACTATATATCTGTGATGTAAAAGGGAGTTTTACAGTTGATCAAGAGATACAGAAGAGATAGCTAAGCCTTTAGAATGAAGTCTGTTACAGAAAAAGAAGTCACAGCTCAAGCTACACCATTAAAACTAAAAATTAAAAATAAAATTACAAATATAAAATGTGTTGTCTTAAGTTGTATCATTTTTATGGTTGGCAAAACACATTTTCAAGGTCAAAGCTTTTCTGTTTAAAAATCCTTAGTATTTATTAGCGGTGTTTACAGCAATGCATGTAGCCAACAAGATTAACTGATAAGCCTAGGCTTACTGGTTAATTGTATAGTCAACTACACATTGACATCCCTATGACAAACTAATAAGTATCTTAAAATTTCAATATCTGAAGAAAATGGTATCATACATGAAAACAGTGAAACTGAGATACAAAAGGTAGTAAGTGTTCCTGAAATTACAGCAATCTTCTCAAAGGAAATCTTCAGTAGATTTGTTCTAGTAGCTTGCTTAAACAGCTAAGTATTTACTAATTAAGTATACAGTTTAAAAAAATCAGAACAATCTTTAGAAATATCCATTCATGGGTTTTAGGCAATGATACACCTCAAAATTATATGGTTTTGGCTTCCATATATTTGCTTGTAAAGAACAGTTATATCCTAAAGGTTATTTCCTGCCTTTTCATCACTGATCACTTGCTGTACTTTGCATCTATACCAACATTTATCTTCAGAGAAACATCCACCGTAGATCTGTAGATGAGAAAATGGAATTCTTTAAGTATAAATGCACCTGAAATTTATTTTTTATATAAAAATCACAATTCATTACAACCCTTATTTTTTAAAAGTTTGTAATCTGGATATTTGTACAATATTGAAGCAGAGTGGTAGCTCACTTAACCCAGCATTCTAACCCCTACACTAGCATAAGTTGGATGCTTCAAAATATATAACCCTCAACAGTCATACAATACTTCACGGCAACGTGTCATTAACAATTTGTCCAGCAGGCACAGAATGACACGCCGTTCTACAACATCCTACTAGCTATGTTAATTTAAGTTATAGAAGAGAACTGTACATTTGAAATATAATGTCACTGTAATGCAAGATTATTATTAGGGATGTTAACTATTGGTTATTTTACTAGTTGAGTAGTTGATGGAATTTCCAGCGACTACTCGACTAGTCGGCAGGCACTTCCGCATTCCTCTTTTGAAATGTACAAAAGTCCCCGCTGGAACTCTCATACATTTCAAAGGAGGAATGCAGAACTCCGCATACAGTCCGGGGTTAGCGGGAAGTCCCGTGGACTCTGGACAGCATGCTCATGTCAGCTTTGAGCCTCCAATGGGGGCTCTTGTGCATTTCAAAGCAACAGTGCAGCATGGAGCCTAGGGTCAGCAGGGGACGCAGAGTCCCCCACTGACCTTGGGCTCCATGCCACGCGGCCTATTTGAAAGGCCACGCGGAGCACAGGATCAGCTGGGGACTCCCCAGCTGACCGTGGTTCCACCCATTTCCCCAGAACCCAGGGTCAGTTGGGGAGTCCTCAGCTGACCCCGGGCTCCACACACGGCAGCACTATATACCTGATCCCGGGCTCAGCTGTGCGGCACTTTCCCTTTGAATGCTGCCTCTGTGTTTAAAAGGGGCATCGCTGCACAGCTGAGCCCGGGAAGTACCCCTTCTTTCCCCTCCTTTGCTGCCTCTATCTGATAGAGGCAGCAAGAGGTGGAAGGGGAGGAAAGTTAACTAGTCAACTGACTAGTCCTTAATATCCCTAGTTACTATAATGCCTAATGGACACAGGAACAGTTCAAGTTACACATGTAAATTTCACTATGCCAATTCCTGAATCCAGTGGTTAACTGCAACTTTAAATGTTCTCTTAACAGTTTCTTTTTTAATGGAAAAGAATAATATCTAAAGGGAAGAAAGATTTAACATTAAACAAACATTTTTCCTTGAGTATTTCTCTTACTTTTTAGTTGAGAAAATACAAGTTGTGTTACAGAGAAAATATCTAAAAATTCAACTGTGTAACTAAGAAGGGGTAGCCATGTTAGTCTGTAAGGGTTCGTCTAGACTACATCCTTCTGTTGAAAGAGGGATGTAAAATGAGCCCGATCGAAAGTGCAAATGAAGCAAGGATTTAAATATCCTGCACTTCATTTGCATATTCGTGTCCGATCGCTGTTTTGAAAAAGGGTATTTCGAAAGCGAAAGTGCAGTCTAGACACAGTTCTTTCAAAAAACAAAAAAAACCCACCCTTTTTTGAAAGAACCCGTACTCATTTTTTCAGGAGTACAAGTTCTTTCGAAAAAGGTGTTTTTTCCCCCCAAAGAACTGCGTCTAGACTGCGCTTTTGCAATACCCTTTTTCAAAACAGCAATTGGACACGAATATGCAAATGAAGCACAGGATATTTAAATCCGCGCTTCATTTGCGCTTTCGATTGGGCTCATTTACTTCCCTCTTTCAACAGAGAGATGTAGTCTAGACATAGCCTAACAGAAAAAAACTTAAAACAGTGAATAGTCCTATAGAACCTTAGAGACTAACAAAAAAAAATGTAGATGGTATCACGAGCTTTCCATCCCAGATAAATTTCACAGTTAATTGTTTACAGCCAGGCCCTAGGATACAACCGGATTTGCTCCAACCCCACAGAGACAAACACCTATAGGGTCTATATAAAGCCTTCTTAAAACTTAAAATACCCACCTAGAGAAGTGGAAAAACAGACTGACAGAGCCAAATGAGTACCTAAGCATTAGCTTCTTCAAGATAGGCCCAACTAAGAAAGCAACAGACCACCACTCATGATACCATCTATATTTTTTGTTAGTCTCTAAGGTGCTGCAAGACTATTCACTGTTTTTTAAAGATTTGTATGTACGTGTAAAAAAAAAAAAAACATCAATCTCACACACTTCTTACCTTAGTAAAATCAGGATTGCCAAAAACTGAGCTGGCCTGAGGACAAACTTCAGCCAATGTATGACTCAATTTCAAGATGTCATTATTTCTACTGATGTTCTAAGACGTAGGATGGGAGAATAAAAAGAGTTAGCTATAATTTGAAAACCTTTTAAAATGTTTCAAAAGCCAGTAAGTCAAAACATCTACTAATCTTGACACCACTGCACTGCCCTGACAACTTTTAACTTCTAAATTCTGAACTGTATATACACGCTTATTTGCAATTTCTCTCCAATGCTGGAAACTGACTTTCAGGGATCAGGAGACACCTGTGCATCAGGGAAGCAGAGGAAAGTGCACCTGTGCACAGTTTGCCAATTTTCTGCTAGAATGACATCTATACAAGCCACACATCTATACAAGCCACATTATCATGGTTAAGTTAATAGCTTAACTTTGAGAGATTATAGTCTTAAGATATCTTGCAAAACATTGTTATAAAAAACTCATATAATGTGAGCATTCCAGTATTTTTGGGAATATGTATGTAGCACTCCTCTTCCAACATTATGGGGAAAAGCAATATGTTTATATCCGGTTTTCTTACTTGTAAGAATAATTTTTTGATTTTACTAATATGAACAGATCCTTTTAAATTACAGTTTTTTACAAACTGATAAATCAAAATGCATCAACTACAATAAATGTGACATTTATTATATTATACTAGATTTATGCAGCACTGCTTAGGTCCTTAACTCAATTAATTTCTATTTTTTGGAAAATAAAATGAAAACGTACAGTCTTCATTTGAATCATTGCAATGATGAGGACTTCAGTAAACAGGCTGGCCTGGGGAGAGAGAACTACCCCAGCCCCCTTTTATTGCCACTGCTTGGGACCAGATGAGAAGCGCCTCCCCATGTCCAATGTAGCTCCAGCAGGTACAGCTAGGAGATGGGTGCATGACCCCCAGATGAGGCAGGCTTGGGTTTGTCTGCATCCTGCACTCCCTAGCCAGAGTGAGCAATGTGGCAAACTGTGCACTTTCCTCTGATTCCCTGATTAAGGGGAACGGCCAACAATGTTCGCATAGGAATTGAGCAGCGGGGGCTCTCCCTAAAGGGTGCCTTGGTGCTCGGAGGCTTGAGACTGGGGCAGTGCCAAATGACAAAAGGGAAGAGGCATGCCCCTAGCAAGCCCCTTTCATCTGCCTAATGATTTTGTCTCTTTTCTGTTTGGTTTTATAAGACGCAATCCCTTTCCAGGCAGATCCCATTTTCCTGTCATAACTAAACCCTTTCCTTGCTTTAAGTTAAAACAGCTATACCAAAGGGTGGTTCTAACCCTTACCATTTTTAGGAGGAGTTTTTGAACCAGAGACCGATAAAGTCTCTCAAATACATAGTAGTACATAAACAGAAAATCCAGAATGTGGAGAGGGAGAGAAAATATTAATGTAATAAAATTGACTTAGTTATCCATTAAAAGAATAGCAGGGTATAGAATACTGAAAAAATTATAGGATTAAGTTGCAGAATGCATAAATTAAAATTCTAAAGAGGGACATTGTAACTAGTGATAGTTCTAATGAACCCCTTATAATAGTCAGTGCATAAATTTCCAAGTCTACTACATATTTTAGAAATGTTGTCTGTCTGTTCATCCATGAGTCCATTTGTTCCACAACTGCTCCTAAATTATAAGAGCTAGGATCACCAAGTTTGGCATGCAGCTTCTTCTTATCGTAGCTTAAAGTGAGGTCAGGTTTTGGTTATGCTAGGACAATGGGATATGCCTGGAATTCAATTGTTTCTTATAAAATGGAAATGGAGGAGTCTGATAGGAGGGACAGTTATACAGGCAGTCCCCGACTTACGCGGATCCATGTCGGATCCGCACTTACGAACGGGGCTTTTCTCGCCCCGGAGCCCACGGGCGGCGGGTCGGCCCCCGTGTCCTCCGGGGCGAGAAAAGCTTCTCCCCATCTCCCCGGTCTGCTGGGGGGGTCCAGCAAAGCCACTGGACCCCCCCCAGCAGACCAGGGACACCCGAGCAAAGCCGCCGCCTGGGAGGCTTTGCTCCCGGGCAAACAAGCAAAGCAGCAAAGCCACACGGGGGCAAAGGAGCAAAGCCACACGGGCGGCGGGGTCCCTCCGCCTGTGCAGCTTTGCTCGGGTCTCCCTGGTTTGCTGGGGAGGGAAGGGAGCGCAGCTAGTACGCCCCCCCCCCCAAGCAGACCACGCTTTTGTTGCGGGACGCCTCGGGTAGAGCAGCTGGGGTGCTGCCGGGTTGGTCCTGTGGGAACCTACCGGGTAGCGCCCCAGCTGTTCTGTCCCAGGCTCCAGATTCAGCAGCTGTTGAAACGGATCAGGCTGATTTCAGGAAGCTGGGGGCAGAGCAACTCTTCCTCCTGTAGTCAGCCCCTGGTCAGTTTCAGTGGCAGCAGCTGAATCTGGAGCCAGTTCCGACTTACATACAAATTCAACTTAAGAACAAACCTATAGTCCCTATCTTGTACGTAACCCGGGGACTGCCTGTACTGCAGAATGACTACTGGGGAGCAGCAAAGGGACACAGATGGGGAACAGGACACCCATAACCCCATTAGGGCAGCAGAAGGCAGAGGTGGAGTAAGGGACAGCTACATACTATGTATTTGAGAGAGTTTCTCTGTCTATGTGTCTGTCTGTCCCTCAGCCAGGGGACATACACCCCTCCCCTGGTTGTGCACATTGCAACTACAGCAGTTATGCACAGGCACTTCTCAAGCTGTTGTGGTGAGAAAGGGATGGCATTGTCCTCTCTCCCCAAAGCAGCCTGCATACTTCATCCCTCATCCCCAGCACCTCCCAAGAAAAAATTATTTAAATTAAGAAAAACAAAACATATCTGAGTGAAGGACCCAACCAATGTCAGGTAAATCTTCTAATAGTTTAAAGAAACTCTTATGCCCCATAATGAATCTGTGACTACCTGTGTACAATTAAGCCAGTAAGTAATTAAAAATACTGTAATTAAACATGACACCAACAGGATATCTAGTGAATTTTTTAAAAGGTTAAAAGAAGTTTCAAGTACTACATCTGCCACTGAGTCTCCTTACCAATTTTGGATTTTACAATCATTTTCTCTATTTTAACGGTTGCTCTTATTGCCACCATGTAAAATTCCACATGAAGAATTAAAAGTCACAAAGTTACAGAAATTGCCAAGCGGCCTGCTGTTTTCCATTCTAACTTGAGAAACAGGATAGATTTTTCCATTATTTTTGTTTTGTTCATTTTTATTTTCTTAGAACATCTAAGTTAGTCATGTTAAAAGTTTAAAGATCCCAAAGTAAATGTTCCATACTATTCCTGATCCAACACTGATAGTTCTAACATTCAAGATTTTAAGTAACACCTATTGCACACTGAATAGAGTAATGAATCTATGCAAAATTTGAGTTGGCTGATGGTCAATAGTTTTCTAACCCAATTCAGAAGGCAATACGTGACTTCTATTTAGACCAGTGTTAAGCAACTCAACAGTTGGATGAAATATTTTAACCACATTGTTGAATGTTCATCTTTGGAACCTAGGTTAGGATTTTTTCCCCTCATCTCCATTCTTATTCATATACCCATCAAACATGTTAACTTTTGTCTAAGTTTAACTCTGCCATTTTTGTGTGAAACCAGATTAAACGAACAATTTATTGGAATACCTTTTTCCAAGAAGGAGTTTTTTTTTTTACCTCACCTGTGCCCAAAATGTCACAGCATCTTCAACATGACAACCAACCACATCTTCAACTGGGAGGGAAACAAATATTTTAAATCAATTCTGAATTTCAGTGTTAACAAAAGAAACAATCTATTTTCCCTCAATACCTTTATTATATCCTGTGTCTTCATCCATTATGACAAATCCTGAAACATTACAAAACATCTAGAGTTACACCTAATAGTAGAAATTAAGGTATGTAATAATTTACTGAGTTGGGCCCTACTCCTATACTAAGTTCTGTATACTGTGGCCTTTATTTTAATGTCCAGACACCCATGAAATATTTCAGAATTTTTATGAAAACTGCTCCAGTGTATACACACACATTAAAATCAAAGCCTTGTTGCATTTAAGGATGGCATTGGATTCTGAAACTATACATTACTTCTGAATGTTTCATTAACTCTTATTTTTGCTACTCCACTTCTCCCACTCTCACCAACACATCCATTCTCCCCCCTCCCTTTTTCTTCCCCCCTTGGTCTCATCCATTGTGTATATTTTGGTTTTGATGCTAAGAGCAATCTAGGGAAGGGGCAGTTATTTAATAAATCTTTAGAGCATCTAGGCCAATGGGGCTCTGACTTGTTGGAAGCCTCCAGGTACTATCAATACAAATATAAGTCTTTGCACCAACTTCAAAAAACATGAAAATATGACTAACGCACTTTGAAGTACTGATTTACATTTATATTGAATGATTCCTCTGTATATTCAAGAATCAGTAATAACTTCTCCAACATTCTCATACTTTCCAGTGGGGAAGCATTTTTTATTTTTTTTTATTTTTTAACGGAATGGAGCTCAAATTAATACTTTTTCAATTAAAGCTTTAACTGACAGTAATCTCACTAAATCTTTTTCATCTGCACTAGGGATTGAAAGTGTCCTCATGCCAAGAAAAATTACAATGTAACACCAGTATTCTTACTCAACAGATCTAATGCCTTTGTACATTCATAATCATATCTGCTTACCTGGTCAAAAAATAAGTCTTGTGTATTGGATCTATAATCCTGGTGACGCAAGAATCAGAAAGAGCCACACTTAAGTTTTCAGATCCTAGTCAAAGTTCAGAGTTTCCATTTTAGACAAATAATCTATCCACTAGTAAAATCAATCTGGAATTCACTAGGACGGACATAGAACCACACAATGCCATTTTCCAATCTCTTCTCAAGCAATTTAATTACACTGTAGATGTGGAAATAGAATGCCAGCTAAATAGTGCAATCGAAACCAACATAAGGAGGAGAGGGCTTTTTTCTTAAAGACATAAAAATTGAAATGGTGCCATTCTCCTTCCCTCCCCCAATATTTATAGATGAGCAAAGGGCTTCTTTTGACCAACTGTCTTTAGTAACGTGGATGGTTTTTCCCAGATTAGAATTGTATGAACATAATTTAGGATAGCATCTGGAAATGTTACCATCAAATCTTCAATGGTGTGTCAAGGGTGCATATTTTGAGTATGCCCATTAGAAACAAGAGCTTTATACTGCATTTTTGTTTAGATGGCAAAATAGCAACTTCCTCAGAGCCAATCCTGTGCAACCTAAACTGTTGCTAACATAGGTACAACTGTAGCCTAGGAAAAGCCTAATGTGATCTTAAAGAGACCCCTTCAGTAATGAGTTGTCTGATTATCTTACTATCCCAAACCACTGCCACAATGGCCAACTTCCAGAAAATATTTTAAAGTGTCTGATCATTAATTCACATTTCAACTTCTTGAGCCTGCTTCAGCTGTGGCAGTTCCATCAGTGCAAGTGCCTAGCTTACTTTGCGGCATTTACAGCAATGCAGTTTAGCCACGATTTAAAACCAACAGCTACGTCTAGACTGGCATGATTTTCCGGAAATGCTTTTAACGGAAAAGTTTTCCGTTAAAAGCATTTTCGGAAAAGAGCGTCTAGATTGGCATGGACGCTTTTCCGCAAAAAAAGCCCCAATCGCCATTTTCACGATGGGGGGCTTTTTTGCAAAAAACAAATCTGAGCTGTCGACACTGGCCCTTTTGCACAAAAGTTTTGCGCAAAAGGGACTTTTGCCCGAACAGGAGCAGCATAGTATTTCAGCAAAAAGAACTGATTTCTTACAGTAGGAAGTCAGTGCTTTTGCGGAAATTCAAGCGGCCAGTGTAGACAGCTGGCAAGTTTTTCCAGAAAAGCAGCTGATTTTCCGGAAAAAAATGGCCAGTCTAGACACCGGTGTTTAAACTGAGCTCCGCTAGCTGCCCTGTCTGGAAAGAACTAGGGCAGCTGAACCCAAGGCTGGGAGCACTTAGTGCACAGTGCAGCGCCATCCCTTCGCAGGGAGCGTGATTCCCA